CCTGCTGCTAGAATAACAATGAAGATAGAACAGACTAGCAAACAAAGAGCACAGTCAATTGTCCTAATTCAGGAAAGCACCTAGGGCTTGGATGCTACGTTCTGAAAGAACTGTGCCATGAAAATGGAGTTACAGGGTAGCTGTACATGGTTGCAGAGCACAAACCAGTATGATATGCTGCAAATATTTTAAAAAATGGTTTCATTTGGTGTGGAGATGTACAATATCATAGATGAACAGCTAAAAAGTAATCCATAAATCTGTGGGAAAAAATTTGAATCATGAAAATAATGAAAACGCCGAACACTGAAATTTGTTTTGCCTCCTCACAGATCGAAGTGGGTGTGCGTCACTGAGGAGAGGCAAGATGAATGCTTGTCTCTGTGCCATCCTTAATCAAATTTCATTTTCACACTCAGCTGTGTAAGCTTGTGCAGGTATTTGCAGTGTGACCACTTGTTCTTTTGATTTTATTTTCCTCAGCAGCTGTGGTCTGTTACTTATCATCAAGGCCACAGAGAAGCTCAGAGGTAAATTTAAGAATACGAAACAACATCATCCAAAATTTATAACCTTAGAATGAAAAGATGAACTAGCCATTCCTGTTATATTCTGACTACCAAAACTCTATAAACATGTTGCCATTTTTACTGGGAGCTTGCCTGGTTCTGGAAGGAGGTTGAGGTTAGGGTATGTGCACTAGCTACCCTCTCACGTGTTCCCAGTCTTTGCAGAATCCCATGTTTGGGACACTGAGCCAATTCTGTAAAATTACTGTTACCCTGCTGCCTTGTATTCTTGCTCCTCTTGTCTCCTTTCATTCACGTGTCTGTCTCACTGCACTTCCTGAGATTTGGTCAGCTGTAGAAGACATAATGTGAACTTGTTCTGTTTAAGCATATTTTTCATCTCTGTTACTGTGTGACAATGGGAAATACTGTGTTCAGTTTAGGTTAATCCTCTTATATCTTAGGGAAAAGATACCTGTGCACAAGAAGTTTCTCAGGATCCTTCCTGAACAGATTGTCTTCAGACTGATTAAAACAATAGAGTCAGTGCCAGCTGTGCTGGGCACACAAAGACTCTGTTGTTCATCTTTGAATTAGTCACCCTCACATGGTTAATGTTCCTAAGCTTGTTGTACAAATACACAGCACTGAGATGAAGGCACCAATATTTAGTACTCACATAGCCATTTATAGGATAGCTAATAGACAGAAATATGTTTTCTTCATAAGTAGAGCAAAATTTGTCATTGTGAT